TTGCGTGCCACCGCGCCGCGCCTCCACACAAAGCACGGAAGTGGTACAGACGGAGGTCCGCGGGGCCAGCCCTCAGCCACAAGCCAGCGAGGACGAGCGCAAGGCAAGAGAAACGAGATTGATCTGGACAAAGAAAGCCTGCCCGTCAGGAGGGGCGTTCGGGAAAGCAGGCCGGGGATGGCAAACCACGGCTCTCCGACGGCACCCCAGCTCAAGAGCGCGCGCACGCGCGCCGTCTCTGCCACCAACAGCCGAAGTTGGGTCCACTGCAGCTTTGACACGCAGAGCGGAAGACCACACGTCGCTGGCCGCAGGTATCTGGCACGCTGCTCTGGGTTTCCGGCAGCGGGGACTAGGCTTTTGCCCGTAACCGCGCTGTAACTTTGCAAGACAGGAGAGCAACAGCACTTTAAGGCACGGCAGCTTTTAAGCGCAGCGAGGGCTCTCAACAGTCCTACGGGACAGATTTTTCCTTCGCTGCATTCGTTGCTTTTCCAATAAGTCACGCACCACCGATTCCTACTCCGACTCGCCTGGAGCTGCGTTAGCTCGGGAAGCCTGTTCAGCTGGCCTAGTTTGCCTAGCTCACACTTGAGGCACGCAGCTGGGCAGCGCCCAGCCCCGAGTGCCGCTGCCAGGGGGCAAGGAGCTGGCCCACCCCACCGCCCCAACCCCAAACACGCGCCTCTCAAGTCTCAGGCTCTGGCAAAGTTCACGGTACTAGTTCTTGACAAATATCCACCCTGAACTGAGCAGGACACACAAAATCTGGGTTCCAGAAAATTAAGAGCAAAAAGACTTAGGGCTTCTCACAAAGAGTTGAGGAGCAAGGAACACCAAATTTTGGTGGTGGTGGTGGTGGGGGGGGGGGAATGTCTTTCGATCTCAGGCCTTCAAATGTATCACTTCAGAGTCATGAGAGCGTGCAACTAACGATATATTTTCCTTCCATCCTTCCCAGCCCGGGACACAACCGCAGTCCGTGTTTGTCCCAGTCGTTACGGGGACAGCTCCCAAGGACTTACAAGAACTGACTGCCTAAACGGGTATCAAATTGTCCCAGGGACTGCAAAACCAGGAAAGCGCAGGCCCAGCTTTTCCCACTCGCACTACGGGGTTCATTTTTGCCACAACTCAGCTTTACCAGAACAGAACCAACCGCAATAGCATGGTTTCCCCTACAAATGATCAAATAGTAGAAACGAAGCTGGAAGGTTCATCTTTCAGAGCAGCTGCAGGTTTGTAACTCTCCAAAACTCCGCAATCCGAGTTCACAGCCTCCAGCTCTCAGCTCATTTGAGCTCAATTGCCTGGAGCACCTTATAAAACTGCTAGGATTTTGCTTCCATTCACATTCACAGCTGGGCTCTTCGGCTGGGATCAGCACCGCTTCCAAAATCAGGCAGGAACTTTCTCACTGCCCTCCCAGGCAGTCTAGCCTTCTCCTGCAGCCCCCGGGCTGGGAGCCAACCCAGGGAGCGAGCCAGCCAGCTGTCTCCCTTCTCTGGGACCTGAGCAAGCAGCGCTCTCCCCGACTGCTCTAAGGATGAGGTCAGTCTCCCCTCGATGCTGAAAGCTCTGCTTTCCAAATTGCTGAGCAAGCAGGAGCTGCCACTGCAGTTTTACCCACTTCCTGTTACTGGATAAAACGGGATCAGAGGGCATTCTGAAATCTTATTAGCCTGCTCTTTCGCCACGCTTGGTGTAGAGTTACCACGGTAGCTGCTGCCTTCGGCAGGTGAATACTGGCACCTCTTGGTTTCAATAGGAGCCAGAGCACAGCATGAATTATTTGTGGTAATGGTGACCTATTTAACAGCAGAAAGGCAGCATTCATTCGAGTCCAGATTCCCTAGAGGCTGCTGGTGTCACTTTACCCCGTGGCATAAAACAACCCAGTCACTCTCTCCAGGCATCTCGGCTTGCAGGGTGTGCCCTGGTAACTGTCCTAGGCCATTCTCTCAACCTTTCTCTTGGAGGGCAAGCGACACCTCCACATCCCCTTCAGTGCAGTCCAATTGCTCCTGGCCTGCAACTAGCTTCTGTTGACCAGTCTTGGCCAGTGCTTTGTGACTTCCAGAAACAACACACACAGGAAGTGGAGCAGAGTGAACCCACATGGTCTTTGCGCTGGTAGACACCCACCAGCATTGGAGAAGTTGCTGCCGATAGCCCCGTTTCAGCCAGAGCAGGGCCAGAGGATGCAAGCAGTGTCTGCAAGGTGGCTGCCAAGTTCTGCAGCCTTTCAGGATGCCTCTCCACACAGCTCCTTCTAAGCTCTTGTAATTTCTAATATTGGCTCACATCCTTTGCGCACAGGCCAAGGCAGCCTGCAAAGGGGTATTTCACATCAACAAGATGCTCAAGTCTTGGTGATGCATTTCTGCAGACCATCTTAGAATCACCCAACTCCCAGCAAGAAGCAGCACGGCCAAGGAAGCTCCCGCTTCCTTGTCAATCTTACCTTTGTCTGCCAGAGACAGCGTGCTGTTAAAATACTGCTCCTCCACGGTCCATGCTGTGTCATTGATCTTGTTAGACACCCCACAGGATCCAACGCAGCTCACTTTGATAGCTGTTAAGAGAAAGCACACTCGTAAGCGCTGGGAGAAAGCAAAACCACACGTTCAGACTTGCTTCAAGTATTGTACGTGGGCCTTTTGCACAGGAACAGAGCTACTCCCCCACGGGAGCAGGAAAACACACACAAGGGGGAAAAAGGGAGTAGAGGAACCAGGTCACGCTTTCAGTTCAGAGGCACATTTTCCCCTTTGTTACTCTCAGCACTACTGCACTCGCTCTGCTACCCTAGTGCTCTTCCCAGCTGTCATCACCATTAAAGTCTTCGTGTTGGCTTCCTTGCACCGTGAAAGGTCTTTAACGGCAGCGATTTCTGCTCCCTGAGATGTAAACCTCTCCCTAGTTTTCTCCCAGATGAATCAATATCCTCCCAACTTCTGCATCAGCCCCAGCACTCAGGTGGACAGCAGAGGACGTCTGTGGCAGCAAAACCTTCCTACACATTCAGGTGTCCCTGGCCAGACAGCCATGAGCACACAGAGGACTCTGCAGCCTCCCACCCTGCAAGAAGCAGGGTATCCTTCTGTCCCTGGGAGGAAAGACGCAGTTGGCACAGGCACCACGTTGCACTAGGCTGACTACAGCAGCTAAAGTCAGGTAGCATCTCTGGGGAGCACGTGGGCTCCAGCTCTGCTCCTCCGCTACGGCTGCAAGAGCTGGAGCTGGAGCGAGGCGGCACATCCTGGGGAGATATCCACCCTCACAGGAGTGAAACAAGGAGAGGAAAAGCCATTAAGTCCTGCTCTTCTGGCTTCTCAAAGAGCCTGCTGGAAGGCAGCTGAAGTGTAGCGAGATTTTTCCCTGTCAGTCCATTACACCTGGCCAGCGTTTCAGTCAGCTAGAAAACAACAGCAGAAACGATAAAACTGCTTGGGCTCGTTACACTGGCCTCTTCCAAAACCAAAGGCTGATGCCTTAGGACATACACTGGGAGGGCTATGCCATTAGCCCTCTGAACGCAGCAGGGAGTTGGACTCTCCCATACAGCACTAACGAGCCCAGCTGCTGCTCAAGTTCACAGCCTACCTGCCCTCGTACAAAACCCCCAGCCCGTGGCAGTCTACCCTCACAGCCCGGGATCAGTCTCGGCTTCAGAGGATCGCAGCAGAAGCCCTTTGCCCATTAATGCTTGTCCTGCATCAAGAGCTCTGATCATGTTGGTAAGACCATTGCTTCTCAGCAGCACTTCAAGGGAGCGCCTTCCTCTTCCTTTTAGAGACACTGGGCTCACAGCAAAGCTACGCAGCAAGGCCTGGAAGCATTTGAGATGCTATCTGATTCTCTGAAAGCAAGAAGGGAATTTGAGCTGTCTGCAGGCCTTGCTTTGGGAAAGTCATCCCAGAGCTTGCTCTGCACCCTCTCACTGTAGCTTTCAGATGAGCTACCCAGAAGGTATTTTCAATTTGTCTTGGCACATTCACAGCAGGTTCAAGCTCTGATGATGTCTCTGGATCACAGGGACAAACAAACGTGACAGACTGGCCTTGTTACACAGCAAGGGATGCTCTGTGCTGCTGTGTGCTACCCCACACAAAGGGAGGGAAGGCAGACCTACTCTGGCACAAAATGGGCCTTCAGGGTCATCCCAACCTGCACGTCTCCTCTTCTGATTCTTATTAGGTTTTTTAACAACTTTAATGGATCCCACAGAACTCCCTCACTGGATTTGCCAGGTGAACATTTCCACTTGCAGGAAGGTACCGCTACTAGACAGACCCATTTCTCCCATCTGCTCTGCTTCTCTGTATTCAAGCAGCATCTCACAGATCTCTTCCTGGGAGGCAGGTGGCCGATCTGCCCTGCTCCACGAGCCTTCTCAACCATGCTGATCTTGCCATCTCCACCCACCTTCCCTACACTGAAAGCTGTAAGTGATGCTGCTTGCAACTATCTGAAACAGCTCTCCAGAGCACCTGCCTTGCCAGTGTGGCCACGTCCTCCATGCTGATTCAAGAAACCCAAACTCAGCCCTCTCTGCAGGGAGGGTGCACAGCTCTTACTCTAGTCTTTACATGTGCTTTACTACATACATTCAGGCTGAACTGGCGCCTTAGGGCTTAAAGTCTCTGACCCCGCTACGGAGAACAGCCTCTCTCCGTCAGGTCTGCTGCCACACAGGCACAGACCGATCATGCACTCAAACACCAGAGCCCATCACAAAGCACTCTTTTGTATTTAAGGGCAAGGTACAAACAGCTCCAGGTGCCACCTCTCATTAATCAAACATCAATAGAGTAGCGAGGCCAATGCGTTGGCTCCCTTGTCCGTACCTGCGATGCCCTGCTGCAGGGCTTAGGGCTCTCCTGCCTGGGTGGTTTCTGATGCCCTCACACTCCTCCAGCACTCCCATATTTTCATATCAGGGATGTGGGCGAGAAAAGTCCAGTGAAGAACTGGAAAACATTTACAGCCTCAAGGAGCAACAGCCCCTGAGCAGGCTCCCCTTCACCAAGCCACAGAGAAGTTATATAGACCGCCACCATCTGTTGCAAGGCCCAGATAAGGGGATGATGGTCTTTAATTCAAGCCTGCTTGCTGCACTGCAGTGCTCGGGTGCTCCTGTTTCCAGGAAGCAGGCGGTTGTGCATGTTCAAGCACATACACACATTATGGCCCATTTGCCTTCCCACAGGAGACAGGTACCCAAACGCTCAAAGGCGGCAGGTCTGCAGCCTGGCTGGCCAACACTCAGTGCAAACCCATTGTTGCCATTTCCTGCTGTGATGGTGGGTTCTTCTAGAGCCTTCCATTAAGGCTACAAACGGACCAAGCCTAGCAGCCAGAAGTCTTACTACAGCTAGTTAAGCTGTTCCCCACCTCGGACACAGGAGCCCCCAGCTCCAAGGCATGCAGTTAACCACCAACAACCCAAGCCAGTTCAAGCACAGCCAGACAGCATCTAAAGAGGAAGGAAGGCCCTGTTCCCTGGAGGGAGTGCTCTGGGCCTCTCAGCAGTGCTAATCCTGGACACCCTCTGAGGGCAGCCCTCTCTAGCCACGTTCCTAATGGCCATTCACCCCGGGCCAGGCCAGGGCAATAGCCGTGATCATGGGTTTCCGGTAGGTCATTCCTGGTTGCTCTTGACATGGACTCTTGTCTAAGGGATGATCAGCAAGGAACTACAGGCTAATCTCCACTGTGCTCTGGGCATCCCTCTGGCACAGGCATAACAGGTCCTGAGGTACCCCAGAGAGTTTACCTGAAGCTCTCAGTTTCCCACACCCCCTGTTTTTGCTGCTAAACGCCAGCTAAGCCGCAAAGGAATAGGGTCCAGCCATCAGGCTCTGCCGAGACTGAATGCGTTTCCTCTTATGCTGCAGATGTGGTTTCAACCCAGGTATCTCATGCCTTGGTTACCAGAGAGCGATTTAACCCCTCAGCAGTCCCTGTGCTCTTCTGGAACGGCATTGGAGGCCTGGTAGGCCACCCTGGGTGCAGTAGCTTCCTGATGGCCTGCTTGCTAGCCCTATGCTGCCCTTCCAGATACATTAGGGCAACTGGAGGGGCAAAAAGCACCCAAGGACTCCTACGCTCCAGGCAGAAAAGCTTAGAGGCAAATTCACAGCAACAGAGAAACTCTCCCTTTTCCCTCTACCCTCTCCAAAGCTGTTAGCGTACCATTCTCAGGGGACACAGGATGAGACTTGGAGGGGCAGTCTGGGTTGTAGAGGATTCACCATGGAGTACCTTCTCCGAACGTTCTCCAGAAACATGAACTTCCACCCTCTACCTCACTGGCAGAGAGACAGGGCGGACAACAGGTCTGAGCAGACATGACACCCCCGCGGGGTTAGGACTGGCTGACAGCAGCTACAGCACAGATACCTCGAGGCTCGGCTGCTTCCCCCAGGCTCCCGGAGGGAGCTGGAGGACTCAGCAGATTCCCAGGCCATTTATTTGATCCCTAACCAGGTTTTGGAGCAGCTCACTATAAAATCAGCCTCCCCACAAGCATCCAGTGACCTGGACAGAGCAAGATGCTAAGAACTTGCCTGACTGAGTTTTGGACTCCCGTCCACAAAGAGGGGAAGGGACTCAGAGCAGCTGACAGGCAAAACGGAGCCATGTGGTCTTGGGGGCAGCTGCAAGCTAAAAATGGAGTCAGCAGGGCAGGTTTGGCAAACTGGCACCGTCAGAGCTGCTGCAACTGGAGCCACCTGAGGTGCAAAGCCTGTTAGCTTGAAGCGCTGTCAGGAAGCTAAACGCACAGGCTGAGCCTTTCCAAGACCTCCCTCTAGGCAATCTCTGCGCACAGTTGCGTATATAGCAAATAGGAAAGCTTTCTACATCAGAACAAGCCAATTCCAGTTGTTAGAAACCTCCCCCCCCCCCAAAAAAAAAAAAGGTCTCTGCAACCCAATGCCACCAGTGACCCCAGTTACCGTATTCCTGCTCTCTGTTTACCTGGATTGCTTTGAATAAACAAAGAAAAGCTGAAACACTGCAAAGGGGGAAGGGAAAACAAGCAAGTAGAGAAGTGAATGAAGCAGCCCCACAGAAGGCAAAGGCCCTTAACCCCTGCAGTCCCGCTCTGCTCACGGGAGCGGGCAGCTTTGCATGCAGCCAGGCACATCATTAGCAATGCACTGCAGCGCTCGCCAAACGCTGGCGATAAAAGGAGACAGCTCAGCCATATCCATCTCTGCACTAAAGTAAAAATAGAGATGCCAAGAGCTGGGCACGTCCGTTTTCTTCCAAGGTGATTTAAGGAGAGCAGCATCTCAAATTACTTTTCTCTGTTGATCCAGGGAGCTGCCTCCCTCAGGGGAGCCAGCGTTGCGTCTCAGGCAAGAGGAAAGCACAGGACACGCATCCCCTTCCCCGTCAGCGACCGTTTGTACACGCACGTCTCCTACAGAAGGGCAAAAGCCTTCCTGCTCCGAAAATCTAGTCACGTGCTGAGCAAGCAGAGTGTCAGCTGCCACCCAGCACAGGAGACTGCCGTCACTGAACAGCAACAGCGCCAGCGCGAGTGACTCGGGCTGGGTTCAGACACCTACCGCAACAGCTTTGGGCAGCAGGGGGATGAAGATGGCAAACCTGGCAAGAAGGTGGCTGTTTTAGGTTTCCTTGGGTGGGGAGGGGAAGACAGCCCATGCGGCGCTGCACCGGGGCAGCCTAAGCACCGCACTCCTCAACAAAAAGCAGCTACAATAGTCGGGGCCGGCAGCTGCTGCTGCTTTTGGGGGTGGCTTAGGCAGGACGAAGGCGCTGGCCCGTGAGCACATCCCCACCATCGTCCTGCAGTTTCCCCTTCCTCCACCGCTGCAAGGGCAGCTCAAGAGCTGACAACGGAGCTCTGAACAGTCCGTTACAACAGCCCTGGACATGTGCCAGCTGAAGCCTACTCAAGCCAGCGTACAGCCTGAACCACGTCTCGAGCGCATTCGCAGACTTCAGCTGTCCCTGTGGCAGGGAATCGGGTGTGCTCTCCTGCGAGCACGGCGCAAGATGGACTGACTGCAAAGTTACCCCGCTTTGTCCGCACTAACTGCATGCAGCGCAAGCGACTGGGGCACATGTTTGTAAGGCGCTCAAAGGACACTCCACAGGTTGAGATGTCCTTCATTCTTTCAAGAGCATTTCTTTCAAGGGCTGTTTCTAGGCCTTGCTGGTGGTGGCCACCCAGCTCCTAGGAAGGCAGCTGCAGCATCAAAAAGGAGGTAACAGCACACAAGACTCCCCATCAAGGGCAGCTCCCTGCAGCAGATGAGAAAGGTCCCGAGGTCCAGTACCAGCACGCAACAGCACTTTCCTGCTAGACCCTTGCAAAAGGGCTTGTGCAGGTCTGGATCCAGATAACAGGGGGAGTAACAGGGGGATTAAGTGCTGTGGGAGACTAGCAAGTCTGCATCAGATATGTCCTCGTTTCATGGAAACCAGCCAAGATTAGCTAGAGCCCCTTTTCCTCACCCTTCCCCATCAGAGAGGCAGCTATCACCAGGTTTTAATTAGATTCTCCCAAGCTGCAGAGCCCAAAAGCCTCCCACGCGCTGGTAACCCACCACCCCTCTTCCCCCTGCCCAACAAGCTGGAGAGGCCAAAAATAGCCCCAGCCAAGGCCCCATGAGAAAGGGGTGGTGAACAGCCCTGAGCACCAGCCACTCCCCAGTCAATGAGGAGCGGGCAGCAGCTCCTCCCGGATCGATGCGCTCTCTAGGCAACAGCACATCCGGGTCCTGTCTCTTCAGGGAGGGAAAGCGAGATCCACAGCCATCGGCCAAGAGCCATTACCCATTCTTGATCCCAGCCAAGAGTGCACGAGTCCGCCACCTCCACCGAGGCCGGGGCTCAGGCCTCAAGGCTGGGCCATAAGAAGTATGGGTGTCCTCCCAGCTGCGCTAAGCTCAGCAGGCTGTGGTGAAGCTCTAAGTGTGGCATGGTCCCCATCATGGAGCAAGCGCTCACACCGTGCTAACACGCATGGGATTTGAGCGGGGGATGAGAGGGACAGGTCACATTCAGCCCAGCCCTCAGGAAGGTCCACCTCTGGCTTCCCTGGTGCAAACAGCTCTGCTGTGACCCGCATGCCCACCAATGCATGTTTAAGATCTTGCTTCAGGAGGGATCTTTTCCCTCAGTCAGCATCCTCAGTTCCAGAAAATGAAAGTCTGTTCTGAGGAGATAATGCAGCTTCAAGGGCTGTTTCCTGGAACCACCTCAGCAAGCAGCACCACAGCTTCCCCTCAGAGCGAATCCTCTGGGCACAAGAGACAAAGGTCATGCATTTTGGCATGCTGCAAGACCTTCTGGCCCCACTGAGCTCCAGCCTGGAACGTGGATGAAGATTACGGGGTTTGGGGTTAGTCTAGGCTCCCAGCAAAGCAGGAGCAGACAGGGCTAGGAAGATGGAAAGCCTGAGAGGCAGCAAGCCCCGCAGAGAGAACAAGTTACCCTCGAGCAGTCTGTGGAGACGGGATTATTCCTAGAAAAGCTCCATGAAAAGCGAGTACCAAGGAAGCTTAGAGCACAAAAGGGGCATGACGACACCTTTGTACTGATTTACTTTTACACGGACAGACTCTGATACAACCTCAGGCACAAAAGGCTCATGCTCTCCTCCTCTAAAAGCAGGAGGGAAGGCTAAGTCACAAGACATGCTACTCCCCTCTGACCTCCAGCCCTCATGTGTAAATATACTGACACACTACTAATTAAACCAGCAGCTCCTAATTAATTCTCAGCTGTCCTAATCCTTCTAGGTCTATCCTGTCAGTTCCTGAGACACAAATTGTCTTGGACGCTTCACAAGACAGTGATGGAAGAGGTCAGCTTACATTAAAAGCTGGAGGCAGCAGCGGATTTAGCACAAAGTTAAGGGCTGTCTGGAGAGGTTTCTGTCTTCTTCCTTCCCCGAAGTTTGGCGCAGGGGCAGAAAGAGGATTAAGGCTCTAACTGTGGGAGGAAAGCAAAGCCCTGTACTCTCTAGAGCTGCCTAGAAACGTAGATCTCGCTTCTCATCTCAAATCAAACAGGCACCAGGAGCTGACCTATCTGAAGCTGACACACATCTAGCATTTGCCACACCAATAACAGCCTCCAGCACACGGGAGACCTTAGACAGCTCCTCACGACCCAGAGGGGAAGTCTCCAATGTGCCAAGCCAGCCGGTCACGCAAGTCACAAACACTGTTCTCTCCTCAAAGATTGTGGACAGGCTCCAAGTGACAAGGCAGTCATTGCTACAGTCTGATCCATCTTCAGCCCTCTGCTGCTTCATCACTTCTCGCCAGAATGGGCAATGCTACCCTCAAGCACGAGTCCAGGTCAGGTTCTGGGACCACCCCTGCAGCCCCTTCCTTCCAGGGAGGGGAGAGATGAGGAGCTCACTATCATTTAGTCTCCAGGAGTGAGATCAGCTGCTCAATCATTCCTTCCCCAGGTTGGCACTCACCATCTGCACCTCGTAATAGACTGAGCCAGCCAAATCATTCACAGTAGTTGGAAGGGATGATCCCTCCCTTCCTGGCCCCAAACTTTTGGTGAGCAAAATTCCAAGGCAGCAGAGCCAGTCCTGTACTCCCAACCTCAGCAAGACCAATCCCGAGAGCCAGGTTTGCCAGTTCCTCCTGGCTGTAGCAACAGGGCTGTATTGGCCTGCTATCAAGCCAAGACAGGAGACCTCTTAAGGCAGAGTCCTGCCATGAACAAGATGTGGGCAGCACAGAATCCCTGTTGCCCACATACAACTAAGGAGCACCGGAAAAGAGGTCTAAATTACTCACTAAACACAGTTGAGGAGGGTTATGAGCGTGGGAGACAAACCAACAACACTGTCCTCTCTGTCTTTTTGGCTGGGGAAAGAACTGCATCAGATGCTCAGATGAGGAAGGAGCAGAACAGCATCTCAGCCAAGTCCTCTCCCAGACAGGCTGCTCCTCTCCCATCTGCAAGCATTTTCTCCCATCACGGAGACGGAGAGCAACAGGGAAACCTGCATTTTCCACTCCTTCCCCAAAATTAGGGGTCTACATAAATCCCAAGGGAAAAAGAAAATGTTTGGGCTCCTGCTTAGAACAAACTTCTGTCTAAACCAAAGGCTTTTCTCCAGTGCAAAGCTGGCAGGTTTATTTATAGCATCACAGAGTTTTATCAGCACTCTGGCTGCCCTCGGAGGGTGGGGGTCATCTCGAACATCTGGAACGAGCCCCCCTCCCCGATGACCACGTTTAACAAGCCTGTCTTTGCACGCGTCAGGCTGGCGAGGCAATCTCGAGACTGAACAAGGCCACACGGACTCTGGGAGGGGGGACAGCAGCATACCACAAAATTTGTGCTTTGGCTCTGTACGCCCTGCTGCCAAAGGCAACCACAGTTCCTTAGCAACAGGCACAAGCAACAGGCACGAAGCACGCTGCAGCATCCGCACACCAGGCCCAGACAGACAGGCAGAGGCTCTGGCCAGCCCTGAGCCCCGCTCCATTGCCCCTGGCACAGCCGCCTCACTCTCACTGAACACCAGCCAGAAAGGGCTCCCCCAGCACCCTCTTTCCCCAAAACCACTTCCTGCAAAAGGAGAGCAATTTTTTTTTTAAAGCTGCAGACGGATGTAGGTCCTGTTGCCGTGTCACCCAAAGAGACTGAGAAGGGAGCTGGGAGGAAGCGGTTTCTGTGCCTCGAGGGCTTGCAAGGGTGATCGCACCCCAACGCCTGGGCAGTACAGAGGCCGCACACGTGGGTCTGGCACGGGTGTCCAGCCGCGCAACCAGCTCCCCCCTTACCACGCACCTACCCCAGCCCCGCAGCTGGACGCACAGGCGTAAGGTCTGCAACCAGCACACCCACAGGCAAAAACAACAGCCCAGACTGGATTTGGGACAGGCAGTATTCCTAGATCCCAGCTTACGAGGAAGCAGCGGAAGGAGGAAAGCAGTACCCGAGACCGATTTTGGAAGCCCAAACTCGTGCCCCATCCCAAACACAGCATGGTCCAGCAGGCGTGTGGGCTGCACGCATTGCCTCCCGCAGCGCACGGGACAGGAGTCCCCCGTCCCAGCCCTCAAGTCCGCGTGCACAGAGCCACAGGGCACCATCCGCCACGTCCTAAGGGACGCGTCTCTTCCTTCCAAACCAGGACGAGAGACGCAGACGCCCCCGAACGCGGGGAACAGTCGCATCAGCCGAGAGTACAGGAGGCGCTGCAGGAAGTTAAGCAGTTGGCTTGCAGAGCCAGATCTCACAGCTCACTGTTAAAACCTCCCTGCCAGCCACCCCCCTCGGCTGGGCTGCCAGGATTCGCAGCCTCCTCTCCTAATACCCAGCGCTGAGTGGCGGGGGGGGGACACAGATGCAGATGAGCAGAAGGCTGGAGGGGACAGCGGAGTCATTTCAGGCACTTCTCCGCTCCAGTGCGCAATGCCAACTCCCAATCTCAAGAAATCTTCCTTTCTACTTATCTGGCCAGAAATTCAGAGCGGTAAATTCTGATCTGTTTCGAGACTAACACGCCTTCTCTCCTTCTAGAGCTGCGCTTCAGCGTCCCTTCTGCTCCCCATCCCTGAGACAGCAGGATGCGTTTCCACCAAGGCAAGACCGAGCTCCAGGTAGGGTTTGCCAGGACTTGCAAGAGGAATCACGTGCCAGGTCAGAGCTGCTCAGCTCGTCACCCGGCCGATCCCAGCAAATAACCTGACCGGGGTTTGCTCAGCAGCAGGAGGTCCCAGACAAAGGTGTCACGAGATACCGGTATCACAACGCAAAGCCCTTGGTTAAGGGAGCACCGTGTCCACTGCCGGTGCCTCGGCTCACTCTTCCTCATCCTCTTTTCCGCATAAAGCTCCACACAGCTTGGTATGGCCCGGCCCCTTGTCTCGCCCTCGCCCTGCTGCCAGGAGCAGACACGGCGCGTGACATCTGCCCCTGCTGGGCCACACATCGCCTTCCAGCCCAGGCACCGCTGCGCGGCGGATGCTGGGAACAGGACCAGGAGCAGAGACACCTCGTATGCAGGATCTCAGTAAGGTCTGGGCAAGCTATGCTTGGGACCCCCCGTACATCTTAATTTACAGTCATTACTTCTCAGGGGGCTTGGACAACGTGAACTGGCTTCTGTGAGCTTCGGGTAACCCGCACTTAAGGACCCTGCGCTCTTCAAAGCGGCACAAGGCTGCGCACACGCAACCGGTCAGAGGGCTGCAAACTTCAGGGTCTGACCCCTCGCACAGCCCTGCCGGAGGGGAACGCAAGTCCCACCCGCCCCGGAGAGCCAGACAAGCGGCGCAGAGCCAGCGCTCGCCCGAGCTCCCAGGAACGCTGACAGACGCCAGGACCTGCCAGCCCTCGACGCTTCCGTCGGCCAGGCCACGGCCACCCCGCCTCGGTCTGAGCAGTCCCAAAACAGAACAGAGGAACCACTTTTTATTTTTATTTTATTTTTTTTTTAAATAGCTTGCCCAGAAAGAAATAGGTTTCCACCCGGCACTTAGCACTACTTTAAGCCAGAGCAGTTAAGATATTCCCATGTACTTGACTTCCGTGTCTAAAAAAAGGGAAGAACCAGACAAGAAAACCCACCGCACGACACCAAAGGCCCCAGGAAACGTTTGTGAGGTGCCTCAAGGCCAGTCAGGTCCACGCTATAACAAAGCGCCCCTTTCAACTCATTGCCCCTTCCCTGTATTCTTTCCCTGCAAGCACAAAGCGAGACACCTTATCCCATCTACCTGGCAGAACAAGCCAGCTATTCACCCAGCCCAAGCGACCCGCAACAACCAGCCGGGGAGGCAGAGCAGCTCTCCGATGTCCTGGGAACGCACGCTGCTTTGCGACCGCCGCCAGCTCCGCTCTGTTCTTCCCACACCCTGCGGCGGGTTTAATGAACTCTCCCCCTCAGACAATCTCTCTTCACCTGCATCTCCGGTCGCGGGAGCGTCCCCTCCTCGAAGCTCTCGGCCCAAAGCCACTGCAGGCAGATAAACGGCTGACTGAGCAGGTTTCTCTGCTTACCACAAAGAGGTTGATTCACCCGAGCCTACTCCCTTTTCAGGCTATTTCTAAATAAAGGCTTCAAAGAGTTCTGGAAATTCATGCTTAACAGGCTTACTGTAATGCCAGAGCACAACAGCTCCTCTGGGCCAGACTCTGCTGCGGGACTGAACCAGACTCGTTCTCTTTTCAGACTCTCACGTACACTTCGCCAGGAGTTGAGGCTAGAGCAACTCCTGCTGGTTGACACTCACTGCGGCAGATCCTCACCGTCACTCAAAACACTGGCTGACACAGGTCACCAGGCCTTCTCGGCAACAATCGGTCTGCAGACGCAACACAGGCGCTCAGGAGGGGAGGTGACGTCCCTCCATCCCGTTCCGGAGCTCAAGGGACACTGCTGGGTCTGAACTCTCCAGGACTCTCTCCCTGTGCTTGGAGAGATGAGTAGTCACATGGCAAAGGGTCAGCTCAATACTCAGGTGGCCAGAGAAAGGCCTCTAGCAGGTTGAACCCCACCATCACCACCACGCACACTTTCAGCACAGACAATACTGCCATAACCAGGCATCCTGAGCGGGTCTCCATCTCCAAGGCACTGGTGAGAAGGACCAAAAAAGCAAGCTCACGACTTTTCAGACGTTCTGGGAACAACCATTTCGATGCGAGAAGTTGGAGCTCGCACACAAGGAAAGACAACAACAGCGTTGCAACAAGCAACCGCACAAAATTCTGCATCCGGGCCCGTCCACCCTGCTGCACTCCTCCCGGCAGACTCGCAAGTCAGCAGCTAGGATTTGTGGAGACACCTCCAGATGATTTAGCACTGCTGCTGCTCCCCGGCACAGGCCTGGAGCCAGCTCACCTCCTCCTAACAGAGGAGGTTGCAAGTGGCCTTTCCTGAACAGCCTTATTTAATGAGTCTTCCTCGTACCCGCGTACCTGTGCAGCTAGGTTCTCCTGCTGGGGCAGGGAGGCAACAAAGCGTGGGGCGGCGCAAGGGGAGATCCCAGCCACCTTGCGTCACGTGCTGGCTGCTGCAGATTTCACACACCACACTGAGCTCTCACGCGGTGCTTTCACACGTCTCAGTTGTCAGAAAATACCCCCTCCCCCAGCCCCAGCGTCTTCGGAGAAAGCAGCCAGAATCCGGTTCGCTCTGCATAAGAGCTGCTCCTATGATTTCCTTTGATGCCATTCAATGCAAGCAGCTGGATTCTCTATTTATAGCAAGATCATCAGTTTGGAAAGACGACTTACGTTCTTCTTATTACCAGAGCACCAGATACATAACAAATCCCTACTACGCTAGGAGTGGCACAAGTTCGTAAGACAATCCTCACTCCCCGCAGTCACGTTGGACACCTGCAGACATCCAAGTAGATAGAAAACGTAGTATCCAGGACCGAGAGCTGAGCCCCTGGGCCTGACATTCAGTCTTCGGCTGGCATTCCCCATCAAAAAGGCACTAAATCATGCCCACGTGTTGAGATTTCCTCCTTGGAGATATGGCCTTCCAAGTCATTTTGATTCATGTCTGACTGTGGGGAGCGCTTGGGTGTGTGGGGGGGGGTGGCAGGAGGGAGGGATGGACAACAAACCACTGTGGTATCATCACCTCCGGCATGAGGTGCTGGAGCCAGACAGACTGAGAACAGGGTTCCATGAACAAGCGCACGGGATTGGAAATTACACACAGGAGCATTAGTGCTCCAGAAATGAGCTTTTGAAAAACAGGCTCACCAGAATGCTTTTTGCTGTGGGTATCTGATAAGCTCCAATTTTAAAACCAAGACTAAGGTGTCTTGGGGTCAGGGAGTATTTTTAAACTAGGCCTGTAAATAGTTCCAAATTGATATTAGCTTTCCACCCTCATCCTGCAGAGGGGGTAAAAAGCAATGCCTGCCCTCACCTCAGGATACCCCTCTCTCCCTTCGGCAGTCATCTGGCATCTCTGGGTCCCGATACATCTGCGGACATTTGTTCAAGCGATCCAAATCGACCATGTGGGATTGACAGTCCTTCTAAAGACCATATCTGATCCTAGACAAAGTGGTACAAAGCCATGGCTAAGCGCTGTTATTCACAAACTTATTTACAGAAAAAAAAAAAAAAACAGTTCACTCTTGACACCGGCACACCATCACCTATTTTTTTAATTAGCCATCAACACGAGTTCAGGGGATGTGGGGTTGCTTCTTAAAAGCCTTCACACGCAGAAAGAAACCAAAACATCTTTGTGATCTGAAGCCATTTCATCTCCAGTTTTAGATCCTAGAAACAAAACAGGGAATAAGAGCACGTGCAGGCACGACCGTACACAGGAGAGCAACCCGCTGACTGGCAGCGGCCTGGGTCCTTTGCGCGTTCCCTCCTCTCCCAAGCACTTCGCACTTCCACACTAGAGATTTTAAGAGCGGCACAAAGAGATAATTAACTTCCACAGCAATCCCTGCAGCCAGACTTAAGAGGTCATAGCAGTAGCCTAAAGGCTACATGCTGGATATCTCAGTAAAGGGCCCCCAAAAAAAAAAAAAAAAAAAAAAAAAAAAAGCCCCCAGCGCCTGGTGTGCTTGTCAGGCGGATTCAGGAGCAGCCGCTCCGAGCAGGAGGAGGAAAGACTTGCCCCAATTCCCAGCAAAGCACCTTTTCCACGCTTTTGGACAGGTCAGGGCTGCAGCAGGTCCATTCTGCTCTCCCTGGCCATGAAAGCCTCTAGCCAGTCACCCATCAAGGGACAGCTCTGTCACTTCCACATATTTACTTCCTCCTCATCCCCCTCTCATCCAAGAGGGGCTTTCAGCAAGGCTATGGGCAGAGCAGGACGGTCCGTGCTGCCACGCTCACCTGCCTTGGCAGCAAAGCTAGCTCGAGCCGTCGCTCTCCCTTGCTGCTGCCCTTCCTCGGGCCCGTGCAAGGGCTGGGGAGCTTCCACCAAAAAACAGACAGATGCGGAAACCCAAACTTATTCCTCCCAGCAAGGGAGCCTCCCTACAGCCTACCTGACTCCAGTTCGGAAAGACAAGCTACATCTCTGCCAGCTCTATACTGCTCCGGGGAAAGAACAAGCAATCCCACCCCGTTTGTCACACTTGGAAGCAAACCAGACAGCCACAACTCCTCTCCGCCTGGTCTCCCATTGTGTTACACAGGAGGGAAGGCCACGGCATGCCTCCTCACCGAAGACAGCCGC